GTTTAGCCTGAAGAAGAGAAGACTGAGAGGGGACCTTATAAATGCTTGTAAGCATCTTAAGGGTGGGTGTCAGGAGGATGGGGCCAAGCTCTTTTCAGTAGTGCCCAGCGACAGGACAAGGGGCAGTGGGCACAAACTGAGGCACAGGAAGTTCCGTCTGAACATGAGGAAGAATTTCTTCCCTCTGAGGGTGACAGAGCACTGGAACAGGCTGCCCAGGGAGGTTGTGGAGTCTCCTTCTCTGGAGATATTCAAGACCCGCCTGGACAAGGTCCTGTGCAGCCTGCTGTAGGTGACCCTGCTTCGGCAGGAGGGTTGGACTAGATGACCCACAGAGGTCCCTTCCAAACCCTACCATTCTGTGGTTCTGTGATTATGTCGGTAATTTAGTTTAAAGACCACAAGAACAGACATCTAATATTTTGAAAAACAGCTAACATCTTCATAAGACTGTCTATTGCAACATCAAGATTTGTATTTTGAATGGTAAGAATTAGTTTGAAGTTCAGCATTTATATGTAAAATTTAGGATGTTTTTCTACTGTCTGTAACTTTATTGAGACTACACTCATTAACTTAGTATTATCAGCGAAGTTTATCACCTCATTAGTCACCTGCTTTTCTAGATAACTTCTGCATATCTTAAACAGTTAGGCTCCTGCACCTGTGGGACTTCTCTAGTGACCCCTCTCCACCGTAAAAACTGACATGCTCCCTGTACTTTCCTGATTTTCTCTGGAGCTACTTTTGATATTAGTGTTGCTTTTACTACCTTCTAATCTTGTACAGTTTTAAGCAATAAATTGCATATTGTAATAAATAGTTCAGATATTTTTGTTTGAGTTCCATTAGGACTCATGAATAAATACCATCTGATGCTGGGTATTTATATTAGTATTTGGTTTATTGGTTGTTCTAGAACCTCTTGAGCTGAGACATGAGTTTGAAACAGACTTTCTTTTGTGTCCTGCATAAAACATGGGTGGTGCATTCACAGAGAATCTGGATTCTGACAATCTGTATCACTTTTCTACTTTATGTTATGTGAGATTGCTTTTGCACTTTGTCCAGCAGCCAACTTTACAAACACATTGACAGATTTACTGTGTGATGTTTTAAAATGGTTTATTCTGGGTTGTTATGAACTTGGCATAGTGTTAAAAAAACACAAACATTCAGAGCCTTCTTTATTGTGATTTTACACTTACCCTTTCCAGAATTTGTTCTTCACATTTTCTTCATCTGGAGACAATTTCAGTTTGTTACTTCCTGTATGATTCTGTCCCAGTGTTCTGCCTTCCCAGATTCTGCTGATGTTTCTCAAATTTTTTTCCACGCTTTTATTTAGTACCACTTTTTGAAAGTAGGCAGTGGATTACTTGTCTTTTTTCTGCTTCTGCAAGAATGGTGAATCGTAAGTAGATCTTGGGAATTGTTATTGAGTGATTCTTTGATGGTAACATTTTGAATTAGGTCTTGTAGACTGCTCTGGACAAAGTCAGGAGTTGCTTCTTGTGCTTGCTAACTTGTTTGTCTATTATTCAGTCACTTGTGTAGTCTGAAATTTTAATTTAATCATAATGTATTAGTATAGCATTTTCTCAATATACCTAAGAGACACTGACTGAAGTTCCCTTTATTTTTGTGGTTTCTGCCCTTGCAGCATTTCTGTTCCTGGTCAGCCTGTCACTTGTATTGTTTCAGTTTTGGTCGGATGGTTACGAAAGCTTTTTTATTTGAGTCCAGAATTGTATTCCACTGGGATTCTCTTGTAGTTTTTGATTGAGGTAGTTTATTTATCTGTGAGGTTTTCTGGTTTGTTTTTGTTAGTGTTTTTTTTAAGGTGAATGGCAACACCCTTCCAATAGTGTGAACTGCTCTGTGATTCTTATATAATACGTTCTGTGGTATTACTTTGTTACATTGATTGTATTGTCAAGTTTCCAGATAATAACTGAAAATTCTCATTTAAAATTTGTCATTTCAGTTCCCCAGCCTTAGCCATGCACCATCTTGAACTGGGTGCTCTTCTTTATCTTCTGTTTTTTCACTAGTCCTCTCTTTAAAAGCTCAGATAGTGTCTTCTTATTTCCAGTAGCCAGCACTGCTTTAATTCTGTTAGTACAAAGATGATCATTCCTAGTTTTCTGAGCTTCTAATGAATGGAAACTCAGCTTCCTTCTGCCATTTTCTGTGCTATAACTTAAGCCTCTGTCTCTCTGGTCCCTTAGTAAGTAAGATGCAAGTCACTGTGTAGTCTTTGCTAGCTGAATTATACTCAGACACAGCTAATTATGTACATGGTAGCTGAATTACATACAGGTATTGCCTGGATCTTCCTGTCAACTAGAATCAATCTTCATTTGTATGGTTATATGATTGATTTAGTGCCTCTTTTGATGCGATTGATTTGTAAACAAATACCAGGCTGTCTCCTAGGTCTGTGTTAATACTGCTTTTATCTTGATTGTCAACTTTTAATTCTTTTTAGATTTGATAAACAAACAAAAATGTTAATTACAAAGAAGTGTTGTACTTTTCTCTTGTTCTCTTTTTTAGTGTCACTTGTTTGATCCAGCTGCCTGATAAATTCTGGCTACAGGGATTTTCAGTCACAGTTGTTCTATCTAGCCTTCCCCAAGAAGATCCATTTGCTTTTAAACATTATTGTACATTAGAGGACAAATGTGTATGTCACATCACAAAATGAGAGATGTCAGAATTTAGCATTTAACGACCTCTTTGAGCAAAGTGGGTGAAAAACACATAAAATTATTTGACATGAGAATAGTTCCTTTAGGTAGAAGAATGGTAAACAGAAGCAAAGTTTAGTAACCAGTTTCCAACATATTTCAATTTCTGGTATTTACAAGCTTGCTTACTCACATTTGTGAAATAGTATGTCTGTTACACTGATTTGTTAAGTGCTTACAGTTGGACCCATATCGATATATTCTGGAAAAAAAAAAAAAAGAACAATTACATTATCCACGGAAACTCTTACTTCTTTGTCTTCTGTCTCTTTCTCTACACTTGAGATCCCCAGGGAACTTAGACTTCAGATTTGCAAGGGATTTGAGTGAGGAGTCTTCTGCCTCAATGATTCTGCCTTTGTGCCCCAAAATGCAGCTATACCAGTGGTATTAGAGGTAGACACAGTTGTTCAAAAGTTTCATTTTCAAGAGCATAAAGCAAATGGGCTCACACAGTAAGATCCAGGCAGACTACAATGCCAGAAAGAATCACAGTCGTTGCAGAGTAAATTGTGGTTCTGGAGCTGGGCTGCAGCTTTAAACTGCAGACTGTAAAATCAATTGGTTTTAAGCTCATCATGAAAGTTCATGGTTTGTGTTTCTTCACAAATGATCATTTTATTTCTCACTGTCTGTGACGTGATTCATTAGATGAATCTGGCTACTAGATTGCTAGTTCCCCTTTTAATTGTATAAACTGGGTTATGTTGTCATGACAATACGTACTGTTCAATTGACTAAACCATTTCTGACTCAAATTTGCTTTCAGTTTTTCTTTGAAGAAGAATTTACAGTCTGATCTATATGGATTGCCATTTGTCGGAGTTTGGACACAGTTATGTAGTCTCACTAGTCGTGGTTTCTACATTAGAAACATAGAGTACACCCCCAAGTTCAAATTCCGTTATGTGCCTTACCATAGGGTAGAGGACCTTGGATCCTAAGATTACTATCTGAGATTATCTTAAGTCCTCCAGTATAGTCTGTAGTCCTTCTAACTCCTTCCACAGGAACAGTATGATGAACAGGAATACTACATTATGAAAAGTCTGAAACAGAGTTTGATGAAGAAATTTAAAAATGATCTCTTTGTTCCTGGAAGTATTTGAGGATTTAAATTCTTAACAAAAAGAGATAAAAAACTGAATTGCCTAATCCTGAAGTCATCTTCTCTCTCTCACTGGTAAACTGAAGGTTACTTAGAACCCCAGGAGCAGCTTTTGCTCAGTTTTGTGGTGGTTACTCTCACTTCAGAACAGCATTACTCTTAAATTGTCTCCTCCTTTTTCCATTACTTTTCAGGAAAACCCCAGCCTTGTATCTTCCCCTATCGCCACCACACCTACGTAAGGAAAGGAAAAAACATAGTGCCTTGTGGGTGAGCCACCTACTAGTTGATTTGTTCAGCGTTGATAGTCATATGTGCTGTCTTGATACTTCTCCATTCACATTCTTCTCTGAGCAGAACAGCTGTGTGGAACCCATTGCTAAAGATAGTTTGGGCAAAGTTAATGTGTTTACCTCAAAATACTGAATAGAAAAAAGACTTAACTCATGCTGAATAGATTTGATTTTATGCAGATATATTCCACTCTGTCACAGCATATTTGGCATATAAAATGGCATTTTTTTAAATGTTTAAATTATTAATGTGATTATTTAAATTATTAATCTCCTTTTAATTACTTAAGAGATACAAGCATTTTTAATAGTGCTTCCAGAGAAATATGGCATCATCTTGTTGATTTGCATATTCCTCATCTTGCGGATTAGATTTTGAGCTGCATAGGTCTATGGAGCATTCTTTCAAGTATATTTTTTATTTTCTTCCTCAGAAGGCGTCTTAGTTTCCTCAGTTAAATTTCTTTGAAGAGTTTAAAATGTACAGACAGAATGTGAAACTCAAGTTAACAAAGTTTTGGCAATGTTAAGTTTAGGCAGAACAAGGTATCTGTATGCTGGGTATCTTGATAATTATCCTAGTATTATCTTTATTTCTGCCTGATACTCTGCTATGAAGATAAAATATGGTGTCATACTTAGTGACACTAATATCTTCTCGGCTAAATCTTATTATTGCACTGGTTTGTGGTATTTTGGGGTTTGAATTTCTTTTCATTTTGGAGGATGTGGGAAAAACGTCCAAAGAATCTACAAGAAGGATTCCAGTTTGTAAAATACATTCTGTATTTTACAGTGACAGGTGAAGAAATACGAGCTGAAGAGAAATGTAAGAAGTGATTGATCATGATCTAAAAGGTTTAGGTGAAGAACTGATCATTTGGGGGAAATTTATTTTTTTCGAAGTATCAAAATTAGAAGTTGACTTTTGAAATGTCCTGGCTAAAAATACAGGATAGTGTAGTGACCATCATGGTCTGAAGGCCATATTAATGTTTATAGATTTTAGTTTCATTTAGAAATAAGATGAATCATTTCAGTAGTGAATTGATTGTCTTGGGTGCTCCGTCATTAGAAGTTTAGCATGTGTTATAAAGATGTCATCATAAATCAGCAAAATGGTCCACTGCTGGCCTTTAAAATCTGTGGCATTTGTTGTCCTTGCTTATATCAGATCAGTTGATAGCAGGAGGCAAGGTTGTCAAGGTAATGAGAGCAGCACAATTAGTGTTTATTAGCTAGAGACTCCATTTCTGGGTGGTTACTGGTAAGAGACAAGGTTGGTGAAATTGCACAGTACTAGACCGTATTAGAATTACTAGGATTAGAATTATTTCATTTCACTTTTCTCCTGTCCTCAAAAATACAGTAGAGCTACCAATAGTATTATGCGCTATCTGTGAATTGGTACCCCATCCTCCCTCCTACCCAAGGAACCTCCCATTTTCTGTCAACACCAGTGTACCAGTGCTGGGAAGAATGGTATAGTTATACCCATATATAAAGAATATTTAAAGGTGATTCTAGCTCCATCTTGCCAGGTGCTTGAGGACCTCAGGCCCCTCCTTTTCTGTGGAGCACCAACCATTTCAAAAGAGAGGAATTTTAGTGTTTAAAACCTAACAGAGACATACTTTACAGCATTGCCTTCTAACACATTGCTGAGATTTTGTGGTTCCATGGAATTACTGTGGGTATAGGTATAATTATGTATGAAATGAAGTGGTAATTTATTGAATAACAATAAAGAATCTTTGTTTCCCAAAGACCGTTGCTATTATATTTGTCTCTTCTTCCTGTTTTCCTTGTTCGTATTTTTTTTGTTGTCTTCTTAACTGGCATGTCTGGGTGTTAGTAGAGTTGTTAAATAATAACTGTTTACTGTGCCATTTTACTTTTCAGCTTCTAGTAAAACATGGTGGAGATTTGTTTGCAGAAAATGAAAACAAAGACACCCCATGTGACTGTGCAGAGAAACAACACCACAAAGAGCTGGCTCTTAACCTGGAATCTCGAATGGTATTTTCACGTGATCCTGAAGCTGAAAGCATTGAAGCTGAATATGCTGCTTTAGACAAAAAAGAGGTCAGAGGATACTTTAGATTTGGGGTATTTTACACATTTGCAGCAGTTACATTGTGACTAAATTCTGCAAAGTGTTTCAGTAGGTATTGTACTTTGTACTGTGTATTTGTAAATGATTTCATTTTAACACAGCTCTTTATAGCTTTCAAGTTAAGCTCAGAGAACATAACAAATAAGTTGTCAAAACTAAAGAGAGGTTTTATTCATATACTTAATTACATGGACTGTCTTGAAAGTGTTGCAGACTGTGAGGCTGGAGGAAATACTGCGAGGCCAGTAAGCTGGGAAACAGTTTCTCTAAAACAAACGTATTTTACATGTTTTTATTTCTTAAGATGCCTTTCTGTCTAAAAGTGAGGGCAGGAGAAATTCTGAAAAGGAAGAAATCTGTGGGATGGAATAGGAAGAATGTTCTGATGGATCTTCCTAGACTGAGACTGGGTTGAATGTCACCAAAAACCAGCTGATTAGTGCAGGATTTCAAAACAGTTCATTTATCTTCTTGTTTTGTAACATGATTCCTGAAGCTATTGCATACCAGAACTTGTATGAAAAACAGGTAAGAACAGGTGGTGTTATTCTGAAGTCAATTTTTGAAAGAGAGAGACAATTCCCTGATACAAATTTGCTTGAATTCTGGCATGCCTTACAGAGGCTGTGATTTGATAAGGGTAATTTGACGAAAAAGATTCTGAGCAAAAGTTCCCTCCCCCAGCCATTACCATATTTTAATTAACTAAAATTCTAAATAAGAATACATAGATAAATTATATGATTCAGAAAATATTATGAAATAATTCTGTGTAAATTAAAGGGCAATAGATTACTGTGTGGCTACTCCCTTCAAAAGTAGCATGGCCTCGCCTTTTACTAGCTTAGCCCACTTATGACCTAATGACACTTAAAAGAAAATTCATTCAGATTTAGATGTCACTAAGCTTTGATCACATCAACTGTTTACCTGAAAAATGCCACACATGGTCACTTCTATTTGAAAGTAAGAAAGTCTTTGTACTGTTCAATTTATTTTCTGACTAATTTTCTTGAATAATGCAAATATAAGCTAGCTTAATTAGATTGTTTATTCCTAGATCATAGGTTTTGAGATGAGGTTTAATATACTTGAATTGTGCATTGAAATAACAAATGTAATTAACTCATTTTAGTTTCTTTGAATATTCCCATATAGAGACACCGAAATTGTTGTAAGAGCATAGTTTGAAATGATATTTTCTCTGTTGGCAAAACCACGTTAAAAGACTGCTGCAGTTTCCTGCCATGATTGCAGTTTACCTCTCCTTTGGTTGTACAAGTAGAACTATTTGGATGGTTATGTTGTCCACTGGATCGTAGCAATGATTTGGCTTAAAAGAAGAAAAAAAATTTAAACACTGGTAATATGTAATTGTTTTATTTAATCTGAATAATTTTTATCATTACATTTATACCATGGGTTTGCTGGCATATGCAACAGCACACCTAAAAAAATAGTGAACTTACAAATATGGGTGGGGCAAATCAAGAACCACTTGAACAGGCTTTTCGGCAAGAGAAAATAATGTCATGTGGCTGTTTGAGGTGGATGCTCACAGAAAAATCAGCTTAAAGATGTGCTAGCTACAAGGGACTCAAAGGTAATTATGTTAATCACTTCAATGAGACTGTTAGAAAATACAGTTCTGTTCCTTATTTGACTTGTTTTTAGCAAAGTTGTTGACCGTGAGAACTGAAATGCAGGCAGGCCTGCAGACCTAGATCCGTGTGATGTACCGGGGCACCTTTCCCATGTGCTCTAAAGATTCACAGGCTAAAAAATGTCAGCCTGGGATTTGGTTGGTGGTCTTGGGGCTTCCCATAGAGCAGTTCTGGCTCCATGTGCTCCCTTCTTTTTTTTCCCCCTCTCCTTTGTGACTTTTCAGTAGGGCAAGTTCTCTAACTTCCTGTGTAACAGCACGTGCTAGCACAAGAGAGATGCCAAGAGCATCTAGCCAGGGTGAAGGTCCTTTTTCAATCTCAGCCCTTGGAGTGGCCCAAACCAGTTGAAAAAAAACAGCCTTAGGAAGAGTAGTCCTGAACTGCAATCCAGATGACTGCGTGTCCTCATCCTCCAGGTCTGAGGACAAATGTCCACGATGGGCAGTGAAAGCTGCACTTACCACTGGGTATGGTGATGCCTCCAGGTGTTACTTTAATGGGGCATGATCCAAAAGCCTTCCCCAGAATACATATCCTTCAGCAAAATTCCCCCTCAGGGATTGTCCTCTACTTTTTTCCTCTCAATTTCATTCTCAACAAATATTAAACACCAAGGGAAGCGAGTGTGCAAAATGCTTGTTTAACGTAGTATTTAGATGGTAATTGTTCCATGATGCCCTTTAACATCCTCCCAAAACACAAAAAAATAATTCATAAAGAATTAAAAAACTTTGGAACACCAAGAAATGCATTTTCAAAGTCATTTTATCTCTTGAATGAAGGTTAGAGGAAAAGATAAAACATTTGAAAACCGTGAACAGGATTTCTTCCCAGACAAAACAGCCAAACGGGCTTAACTCCCATGTTTATGATATGCACAGTAGTATCTGGAATGGTAATACCCCATACCTCCCCTTACAGACCTGCCATGTTTACAGCAGAAAATAATCTTATTTTTCATACAGAGCACGAGATTTTTGTAGTGGTCTGTGCAGTGTCGTTGAATTAAGTGTATATACTCAGAGTAATAACAAAGCTTTGTTTCTGATGTTGAGAACCAGTTCGTGTTGTTCTTAACATTGAAATATTACCAAGGAATTATGTGAGTGCTCATCTTTAGAGTTGAAACACTTGTAATAGTGGAAAAAATGACTTGTGCATACCTTTCTTTGATTACAGAGGCTCTCAAGCCGTTAAGAAATACAGATTGCTGAGTAGACCCACATGTCCAGTTTGAGAACATGACAGCAAGAGCTGTCCGCCTTCCCGCAGTTCAGTTTACTCCTTCCACAAGGGTTGCTGAATAAAATCCATTTCTGCCATACCCAACCTTTTAAAATCTGATTTTACTACAGTGCTCCCTGAAGCATATTTTTAAAACAACATTTCTGTTTTACTTTGGTTTTAGTACACTTCAGACATTTTTAGTGATCAAATTAGAGCTTACAGTTAAAGATGGGTAGTAAACAGGCCCTAATAGTTTTGAAATGCAAACATGATTTTTAAGTGTGTTTCCACAAAAAGCAGTCTGGAAGGAAAGCAGTGTATCAACACACAGATAATCTGTATTTCAATATATAGAATAGGAATGCTAAATATTTTAAAAATGGAGTATAAAGCGTGACTCTAGCACTGTAGTTAGTTGTAGCGAGAGATTTATCTATGATGTGTAGGCAGTGGAATGGGTATTAGAAAAGAAGCCAGGAAAATATTTCAGATGACCACCTTGTCTTGGTTCTTTTCTCTTGGTTGATGAACAGTCTCAAAAAAAAATCTGTGTTAGATAAAATCTAAGTTTATATTTATCTTTTAAGTCTAATTGAAGTTACACTAAAAATATGATTGTGACTGATTATTTTTTAAACTACTTTTACCGATTCTGGTTGTTTTATTTGCACCATCTTTTAATTTGCTGTTTATTCTTGCATGGGAGCATGTTTGTCTTAGTGATCCCTGGAAGATAACAGGCATTTCCATTTCCATCACATCATGCAATGTTTTAAATTTACTCAAGAAACACCTGGGAATGAGCAGTACTTCAGAGCAGATCGTCCAGAACAGTTTTGACTCTGTCAGACTCAGAAAAATACATTGTGCAATAGCAAAGTGTATAATTTCTTACTTAATTTTACATATGTGCCACTGAATACTGTAGAAATACACTGCTAGTGAGTGTTTTACAGGTTTATTTAGTGTATAGTAATTGGAATGGTTTTCTTCAGTTCATAATTGATGTCAGATAAATATATATATATAAAATGCAAATATCATAAGTACAAGGAGTTCTCTGAAAATTATTAAAATGTACTTTATTTCTGTAGATAGAGAATGATTTATTAAGTGGAAGGAGAGAAGGGGACTACAGGTAGTTAAGATACATACCGATTTATATACATAGAGTGCCTATACTTTAATGAGTTAAATGGAGTAGTGATATTTTTTAAATATATGACTCCATTAACTATAGAACTCCATCCACCCATAAAGGAGGATATTTACATGAAGTATATTTGACACCATTTAATTATACAGTCATCACTGTAGCAAAGAGTCACTTTGCCCTTGTCTATTTTAATGGTACTTTAGAAGTGGAGAAAATAATAATAGTTTGAAATAACCTGTTAAAATAATCAGCTTACATATTAAAAGTACTTTCAGGAGAAAAAACATTATATAATTTATGATATCTAAATATTAGTGGTAAAAAATTGAGAAGAAAATAGTTAAAAAGAAGGGCTCTTGAGAATACAAAAGGGTTGAAATTTGTAGTGAGAAGCTCACCAATGGATTAAAGTAGTAACTCAAATAGAATATTCCAAAATCATTATATAGTTAAATGATGCTAATATTGAACAATGCCTTTTTCACAGCAAATATCTATAATCCATAAATGGGTATTAAAAGAGGTCTCTGAGCATCATGAGCTGTAATCAAAATACTTTACAGTACATTGCAGTGCAGAGCTAAGTCGTGTTTGAAGTAGTTAAAAACAAACCTTTATGATGTTACAAAAAGGATATACATCCTTATAACTAAGGACTGTGTCCTTGCAAGTCTTGATGTCTTAGACACATGAACATTTTTAAGGGTTCTCATTGTATAAAGCCTTCACTCTGGAATTTCCATATAAGGCTGCTTTAATAGTGCCAGCCTAAGATTTCCTTTCTTTCAGCTTTTTCTGTGGGCTCATATGTTATTTTATGGAACAAATGTCTAAAGTTTCAAACACGTTCTTAAGAAATATTTCCCTCATTACTTAAAAAGATAAAATTAGGATTCTTAAAAACTGCAGGATCCAAAAATCCCTGCTGGGTTGTGTGAAATGCTCCAGCTGAGATAATATAATAGTCTTTTACTCAATGGAGATAATTGCCAGTGTTTGACCTAGAACCAATCAGTTAAATATAATTTTGAGCATATCTGCAACTCAGGATAAAATGCTAGGTCCTAAAATATACATGTATGTTGTAGGTTTAACAGAAAAGACATTTCTTTTTATCATATATGTCGTCTCCAAGAACTGAATACTGTTGTGCTGACAAAGCTACTTGTTTTACAGTTGCAATTCAAAGTGCAGTTCAGATTCAGTCAAGATGATTTATTCTTTGCTTCCATTTTTTTGCAGCATATTCGTGCAATTATAATCACTCAGGCACCCAGCTGTTTGTATCCCTGTCTCTCTGACACGTTTTTATAAATGAACTCTTTTGTAAGAAATTAAGTAGGTCAGTCAAATTCCAGCGTGCTATGAATCAAGTGGGCTAGATTTATTTCAGTGCAAGCCATTAACGTTCAGATTGTCCGTTATTGAGTCATGCATGATCAGCAATGGAAGGACATACAGAAACTCCCTGAACTTGGGCAATCAAGATAAAGGTCAGGACACTCACAGTCCATTTCTCTTACACTTTTCTTGTTTTCTGAAAAAGGACAAAGACGCAGTGCAGAGTCATGGCATCGTTACTCTCACCAATCACAAAGTTGCGAATGTCGAGAAGTTCCTGTTTATATTACTGAGTAGCTTACAGAAGAGGTCCTTGTAGGAGTCAGTTATGTTTTTAGATGCATTTTATGAAGTTTTTTATATCTATAATGTAGGAAGCATGTTATTTTTTTAGAGTAGGTGTCTCAAAAGAACAAAATTGTTTAGAAGCCCATGGTATCCATTTCTCCCCATCTCTTATACTTCTGCTTGTTATCCTCAAAGGGTTATGCGCACAGTAGACTTTTTTTTACATACCCTTTCTGTATATATTCTCTCTACATATCCTCCCACTTGTTTTTCTCTCTGCCTTTTGGGCATTTTCCCTGTGCAACATGAACAAATATATTATTTGCTGTCCTGTTCTTCCTTTTGTAGTTTTAAAAAAGAGTCTGCAAAACGTGTGTGCATCTCCAGTATCTTGGTTGGAGCTAAACCAGAATCCTAAAATTATTGCCTGTTTGTTTTTGTAATTTGAGCTTTTTTTAATGCTACAATAAGGGGATGGAGCTCCAGACCAGGAAGGCAGCTGGATGATCTGCCCTGACTGTGTAGGGCTATGAGAGCTGGCCACTGTTTCTCTAAGAGAGTTTTGACATCTTCACGTACTATGAATCCCCAACCTTGGAGATATTTGGAAGCCGTCTGGACACAGTCCTGGGCAGCTGGCTTTAGGTGACCCTGCTTGAGCAGGAGAGTTGGACCAAATGACATCCACAGGTCCCTTTCAGCCTCAGCCATTCTGTGTTTCTGTGAACTTCTAACTGCATGTCTCATCTGTCCTGTTCATGACTGACTTCTCGATTTCTGTGAGGGCTGATATTGCCTCAGAATACTTGTACCTGATTCTGTTCACGAATGTATCCTGTCTTACTATCTAATGTCTCGATGTGTCTTCCTCCAGATCAATTCAAAGTTAGCAGATCTCAATTCATGTATAAAGTTAGTGTCAGAGGATCTGTATGCAACGTATGTTAACCTGTCCTTTCTCTCACTCTCCCCCGAAATCCTTAGTTCAAATCTGGTCATGCTTTCTCATACCCACGCTACAATATTTGAGGTTCAATCACTTCAAAATTCAGCTGGATTCTGTGAAAATCTAGCTTTTTGGGGAGAGAGAGTGTCAATGTTAGGCTCATTCATCGTTTGAACATGGCATCCAACTATAATGCAGAACTCTAGAGATACTGACTTTTAGATTTTGAAATGTACAAAGATCATACTGTAGATATTGTAAAATGACAGTGAACTTTGCAAGGTCATTGGTCTGCACAATGAATAAATTTTGTCACGTATTGCAGTTGAGATGCTGATCAGTAAAAGTGTTTTGAATGTTTTCATTTGAATATGGAATTAGAGACTAACTGGAAAATACTGCTAGACATAAATTATCTTTCTTCTTCTTCTCAAAGCCATATGAGGGGCTAAGACTTCAGGACCTGCGAAGGCTTAAGGATATGCTGATTGTGGAATCTGCTGACATGCTCCAAGCCCCGCTCTTTACTGCAGAAGCTCTACTTCGGGCACATGGTAATCCAAAACCTTAAAGACTACTGAAAAAAATGTTTTCAGCAACATCAAAATTGCAGTTGTATATTTACTTTTTATTTCAAAGTAAAAGAGAAGTAATGGTTAATCAAACACCAGGAAATAGTTCTGTCCTGTTTTCAGCTGGGATAGAGGTGATTTTCCTCTCAGTAGCTGCTGTGTGTTGGATTTAGTACGAGAAGAATGTTAATAACACTGATGTTTTGAGTTGTTGCAGTGAAATCAATGACTTTTTCCAGTTTCTCATATTCAGCTAATGAGCAGGTGTGCAGGAGCCAGACAGATAGCCAAGCTGGCCAGCAGAAATATTCCTTACCGTAGACATCATGCTTAGTTTATGAATGGGGGTTGGCCAGGGGGCAGGAAGCTCTTCTCTTGTCCAGGAATTCGAATCCTATCTTGTCTGGGAGTTTGAAATTTTGGGGGAATTTAGCACAATTCATGATTTTGGGGTTCTGCGATTGCTGCTTAGGGACTGACTGCAAATTGGTCATTGGGTGGTGAGAAAAATTGTATATAGTTTGTTTTGCATGTTCCTTATTTCAGTAGTAGTAGTAGTGGTAGTATTTCCTTTGTTGTCTTATTAAACTGTCTCTACCTCAAACCTATGAGTTTCTCTTTTTGTTTATTTCTCCTCCCCATCCCACTGCGGGGGAAGAGTCTCTTTTTGTTTATTTCTCCTCCCCATCCCACTGCAGGGGAAGAGGTGGGGTGAGTGAGCGGCTGTCAGGTCCTAGCTGCTGGCTGCCTTTGACTCTAGTTCCTATTGAAGTTCTAGCACATCTGGCACAGGAGCACTCAGTGGTGGTGTAACTTCATTCAGGTCACGGTAGTCCACTGTTAGTCTCCACTCTCCATTAGGCTTTCGCACTGGCCGTAGTAGCAAGTTCACGCAGTACTTCAGAAAGAAGTACTGCTGCACGGTGTCAGCAAGCATTGGGGCAGGCAGGGAAGCTGATAGGAAAGTGATTGAAACTAGGAATTGTAATGGAGGACATTTTAACTTAAGCAATATGGACAAACAGAGCTTTCCTGTTTTAGTGAGACACAGAAGTAGAACTTCCATGGCTTTATATGTCAAAAAAGCCAAATTCATTGTACCTGTTTTTTGTCAGACCAGTGGTTTTCTGCAGCTATATATTTGTGTATAAAATGGGATCAAAATAGAGAAATTTATTTATTTATTTAGCCATAGAAGCAGTCTGATCATTGTAATAAATGTTTGGAAATTCCCTTGGGGTTTAAAGCATACAAGTGCATGTCCTTTGAAGGATTTTTATTGTTACTCTTTTAATACAGGGTATACTTCCGCGTGTGTATCTGTAACTAGTTTAATTTCACTGAATTCAATCTGTGCTCTTGTCATGTAGTTTAAACTAGGGTTGTCAGAATGGGGATATTCTGAATTCAGTGTGTTCACTCCAGACAAAAGTATCTCTGAAATTCAGTGGAAGCTTTAGGCTTTGATTCAGTGATTCGAAACTTATGCTTACTGAAGCATCTGCATTGTTACTATGTGCCAAAGGAACTACTCAGGCAGTTAATGGTTTGCATGCTCAGCGCCGTATTGCTGGATTAAGCTTTCATACCCTGTTATTTGTGTGGTCTCCTTGTGAAAACAAAAAGGAGAGGGAAAAGTGAAATAGGAAAGTATTATTTTAAACCCACAATGTTTGGCAGACTTGTTGAAGAGATATAATACCTGAAACTCATCTCTCCCACATTATTTTCAAAAGTTGGTATTTGTGTTCCTTTTAATATTGAATTAAGTCCATGTGAACTTGTGCTAGTCTGATTATATTTAAGGCACAGTCTTTTCGTATATGTTTTTTTCATGTTGATTATTTGTTTAATTCTTATATTTTGGATTCTCAGAATACTCGCATTAAAGCTAAGTATTACTATATATTTGACTAAGTGGGTAAGCAGATGATGTAACCTTTGCAGATATTTTGAAGAAGAGAATGATGGCAGTAACTTTCAAACTCACAGCACAGTCTGTAATAATTCCAAAAGCAGTGAGGTTGATGTAAACTGTGGAGAAATGTCTGCCAGCATCTAGCAAGCAGGAACTGAAAGTTGAGAAGAAATCAGTCTGTGTTGGAAAGGTCATTCTACTGATGTTGCCTTAGTGATGTAGCAGTAATTTAATGCAATTGGCCAGTGCAGAGAAAGCAGCATAGACAATTTGCAAGTCATGAGAAAGTCAACTGTTTTGCCTGTAGCTGTAGTCATACACTGGGAGTTATTAAAACATAATTTATTTTATTTGAAATGAAGATATAGGATTGGTTCAGCCTAGTAAAGGGAATAAGTGACCTATTTACAAAGGCTTAGACAACTGGGAAACATCGAATGCCAAATTGTAATGTTGTTGCATTTAATCTTGAAATTCATAAAAGAATAATGTGAAATCTTATTTCACACTTAATGGATTAAAAGCTTCTTTTAAATTATTGGAAAAATCATTCTTATGTGCTACATCCAATAGTTTACAGACATGTAATATTTAATCCAACAAACTTCGCTTGCTTTTATTGTGCAGCTATATCAATTTACTGACACAGGCTGTAAGAGTTAAGAGCTTCTTTTTCTTTTTTTTTTAATTAAGAGACAGAAATATGTAGAGTCAGAGCCAAGATTAAAAAATACTGTTAGGGCAATCGTGAAAAAGAAATACCTGTACATTTTTTTCTACAACTATTTTTTCAACATTATTCCTGTTATTGTTCTAGTTCATTATACAGCAGTTGATTTCAGGATATAAGAGGCAATTCAGCAGCTATAACTACCTTATATTTTACTAAAACTCATAAGTTAGTAAAGAAAGCACAGTGGAATCCATTAGGTAGCATGTCTTAACCCTGCGTAATTCTGAAAAAACAGTACAAATAGTGGAGCTCAAGAAAACTTCTAGCAAATTTTATCTGTATCAGCATCAGTCAGCTCCCCTCTGAAAGATTCTAAGAATAGGGTAATTTTGAAAATGCTAATAACATTTATAATTTTTAAAGTGTAGATATGTTCAAGGTCCATGCCTTTAAACAAATGAAATTAAACTAACCCATGATATGTTTTAGCTTAGGTAAGTAAGCACATGATCAGTAAATCATCTCTAGCTCAAAAGCTTTTTTCCGTATTAGGAGGGAGTAGATTTTAGTATGATATTAATCATTATTTGGCAGGGGCAATATTTTACCAAGTTCAGTGCTTAGAACGCTTACTTTTTTTTCCCAGCATTAATACAGTATAGAAATGCTATTTATCTTTTTCTTATAAAACCTGAAATTCAATAAAAACAACATATATTTTTTTGGTTTATAACATTGAGTTTCCAGTGGGAGTACCTAACATTAAAAAAAAACCCTTTAAAATATTTTTTTACAGCAACAGGAAAAAATAGGGAAATTTCTCTTTCCTTCAGAAATTCTAGTTCATCTGATCTGTGCATAGTGTTGATGGTTTTAGATTCAAATCCATATAGGAATTTGATAAATTTGTATTTGAATGAGAAGTTTTTAAGTATTTTTAATAGAAGAAAATCACTATTCTTAAGATACCTTCAGTATTACTCCTAGGAGTCAGAAACAGAAAACATTTCAAACAATAATTAAGAAAGATTTGGTTTAGTTTTAAGATCTTCATACATCATTAAATTTTTTTCACTAGTTCTTTTTTGTGTATAAATAGGCAATGTTAATTATTAATAAATAAAAGCAAAGCATTCAGTAACAATTATAAAATCAAAATATGGTAAAAATATATAAAACTTTTTTTGCAGTCAGGTGGGGTTTTTTTCCTTTTATTTTCCCCAGAAGTATATCACTCATATGCATATATAAAGACTGGTAAGTCATTAAGTCGCAAATCTTTTTATAATCCAATTGTATCTTAGTCTTCTTCCTTCATTGGCAGCACTTGGCGTCATCTTCTTAAAAAACCACAACAGATAAAAGTGAGTCCATATTGAACAATTACTGTCTTCATAGGAAGGGAAAATGCTGAAATTTCTGTGTTGCAAGGGCTGTTATATTTTGATCTGTCTTTGCAAGTCACTGCAGTTCTGGTTTCTGATTGAATCTTCTAGGTACTACAATTGCTGTAAATAAAAATAATGTTATTTAAGATTGATATTACACAGAAAGGAGAGGCTTGTGATGCAATTATTTACATAAATATACTGGATTATGTATTATCTTGGAATGTGTGATATTTAATGTCTAAAGTTCCATTCACTTACACTTTATCGTATTTCTTTCTGAGGTTTTTAGCTTAGTATTTATATATTCTTTTGAGGGTGCATTTACTATATATATATATATAATATATAAAACAGTCAGCTACCTAATTTCCTGTATCTGTATATTTATTGCAGACTGGGACAGGGAGAAGTTACTTGAAGCATGGATGTCTAATCCAGAGAACGGCTGCCAGCGTTCAGGTGTTCAGATGCCAACTCCCCCTCCGAGTGGATACAACGCGTGGGATACGCTCCCTTCTCCACGAACTCCACGCACTACTCGCTCTTCTGTAACCTCCCCGGATGAAATCAGCCCCTCACCAGGAGACATTGAGACAGCTGTGGTAAGTTTATAAATAGAGCTGAAACTAGCGAGGCAGAAGAGCTGATTTCTAAACATAGCGCACCTATGTGGACAGGAGAGCTGTGTTGTCGTCTTATTCTGAAAATATGCTTGTAAAGGTGTAAAGCGTCTATCTTTGCAGAAGTGGTGAGCAGAGAAGTGAACACCTTAAACGTTCTATATAAGAACACAATCGAGCATCTGGCTAATGTAAAGCACTCTGTTTTCACTCTCCTCGTCACTCACACAGTAGCATTTTAACTAGTTACAATCACATCAGTGCTTTTGCCTCCTTTTAGCTTGTCTCCTCATCTCATCCTTATAGAGATGTTCACTTTCATTTTATCCATTTCCCCGAATGTACTCTATGCTGTGAACCCTGCCTTTTGAAAATTTTTTCTTTAGAAAACAAAATTCTCTTTGTCTGCATTTTGAAATGTCAGCCCACTAGTGTACTGTAAGCTTATAATTACTTTTACTATATGTGGGCTGCTTCAGGCAGTTTACAAGACTATTGCAAATTTGAAATATGAAAGCGCCTTTCATTGAAATCAGTGTGGTTCTTTTGGAAGACAGACTTCTCTTTTTAATAATCCGCAGCTGCAGCATTATAAAACTTTTGCTCCATGACCTAAGCATTTTTCTAGAATACTATATGCCATCTCGCAAATGGATCATCCCTAGATCTCATATTAAAATCAAGATTTTTCATTACTGCATAGAAATTTTTTATTTCTTTAATTTTAAAATGCTGAAAAAGAAGCCATGTAGGAGGAATAATATCGTAGATTTATTTACATTAGCAGTTAAATATTGTCCAGGAATATTTCCTAATTAAAATGTGTAATGAAAGATTACATGTCTTCAGTTTTAGTTTGTGGTTTGTTTTTCATTGGTGATCCATAAGCCAGGAATGCAGATTTGGATAATAATTACCATTCTAGATCAAGTGTATCTAAATCCAAATCCAGAATTATACATTTAGTAATCCTGTTCATTTAAAAATCTTATAAAGAGCTATCAAAATAATATTTTCAAAATGTCATTTATGAAATAATACATATTTGTCTGAAGTATCTCATTTTGGTAGGAAAATTAAAACTAAAAGGAATAGATAAAATAAAGCCACAAGCCATAAAGCTGCTTTTCAGATTTTGCATTTAGATCCTATCTTACAATTGAAATTGTTCCAGTAAATGTTCTGTATATGATATTTTGAACTCAGGACTTCATGAAATTCCTGATTTTAAAGTTATGTTTTAAACAAAACTGAAAACTTTTGTAAATTTAATAGTGAACATTTTTCCTGCATTGTCAACTTCTAAAATATTTAATTTTGGCTAGACAATAAGGTGAAATGACTGAAACGACAATAACTGCCTGCACTGAATTTTGCACTTTAAAGGCCAACTTCTTTGGTTTGGTTTTGTTTTGGCTATAACACAAGCTTTTTTAAAAAGTGGCGTAACATAAGCTAACTTTTTTTAAATGTCCTCTGTGTATATAATATCTAATGTATTGAAAGTTGAAGTAAATTTTCATGAAATCTTTGTTCCAATGGAAATATACAAATATTCAAGTTCCTTGAAGAACATGAATATTTATTTTCATGTCTAACCACAAGCAATGAGAAGTTTCGTCCCTATACTCTAAATGTTTTCAGGGTAAGGGTCTCAATATTCAGTGTTATTTTTTCTATAGTACCTAGATGTATAAAATTCAGCAGGGGTATCTTCTGTTGGAATACTTGTAGGTTAACTTAGTCTTTATTTTGGTTGAAAGCCTCAAATATTTAAAATAAATAATATTTACACAGATTATTACTTAAAATAGTTGCTACTGTTGCATGACCAAATTGCTCCGCCTTGATTTGGACCTGATCATTTGACAGGCTAAACATCTCCTGTAGCCTCTGTCATCTCCAAACTCCATTTCTGTCTGCCTGTGAAGCTGATGAAAAATTCAGGTCCTTTTTGTCTCTTGAACTCTAACTCCGAGGTCCCAGCGCTCTGCAGGGTGAAGCACTTACTGAGCTGGAGGACGTGACGGAAGGCGCCCCAAAATGTGCTGTTTGGATAGGGAGGTACAGAAACAGAGATACCTAATCTTTCCCATTTCTCTTTCTATAGCGTAAATAACTTTTTTTTCTGGTTACAGTTAGATTTTTTCCCACTACCGAGCGCATTTTTAAATTTTTGCTGAGGTTTTCCAATGTAATGTGTCCTCTTTAGGGTATTTCTTAATCAGAAGTATATTTTTCATCTACAGTGTGACATTTGTATGTGTAATATTTCTGTGTTTGAAGACCCAGTGGATATGCCTTGTGGACATGACTTCTGCAGAGCATGCTGGGAAGCGTGAGTATATGTACTTTTCTGTCTTTTGAGACACTTTCATACCTGCCGTTTTGAAGAGGAAAGGACAGAGACCATAAACAGTCTTAAGTACTGTTTGGGTTTCAAAGAGTTGCTGGTTTGACCCTATCAAATATTTAGGTTGTCACTCAAAGTGACCATCAACTATTATAGGCTTACATAATGTCTGGTTTGGTCCTGATTCAGCAAAGCTCTTAAGCAAATGTTTCAAGCCTGTATGTAAATAGATTAGCCTACTCTTAATTGGCTCAGAGTATGTGTGTGTGGTGTTGGCAGCGTTGTCTAAATTAAGCACATGCTTAATTTCATCTCTTAGTTTAGCACACTAAACGTAGGCATCGTAAATCCATTTCCAGTCTGAAAAACAATTAAAATGCTTTCTTACATTGAGGGTTAATGACTGAGGAGCAGATTTAGCTTAAAAGTTCTGTCAGTGTAATACTCTTGTTACTACTTGAATTTTTTTGAAGTCAGAATAGTCATGCTAGTAAAAAACTCAGACATGGATAATTATGCTAGCATAAATATTAATCATACTTCCCAGGGATAATTATTTCTGTATGCAGTGCCTTTATGTTCATCTTTGTCCCCATTCAGGAGATTGTACCACTTGAACTGTACCACTGTAGTGTCTTGTTACAGTGTCATATCAGCACAGCTAGTTCTACTGCAGATCAGCCCAATTTATATGAACCCATTCTTCCTGTGTTAAGGAAGAGCACTTTCTCTTCCGTGTGACCTTTTCGAAGGCAATTCTTTCAGTGGCAAGAAAATTAATAGTCGTGCTTCTGTTGTCTTGCAAATTGTTATGCAGCAATGTAGAAGTCAGCAAGAGATCATTGGCTTGACATGGTGCTGGACTATGTGTACTGCAATTTGTGCACGCACTCAGAGCTACAGTTCAATGTCAAGCAAGTGTTTGCAGTGGCACGTCTAGGGTGGGATTCATCTTTCTGAGCCAGTCATTGCTAAGTTACTTGGAGCATAGCCAGGGCTGAGTTATCGCATTCTAACATACAAATCTAAAATGGGATGAATTGGCAAGTCTCTACCTTAACTATTAAAGGATCCCAGGTGACTAACTTAGAATAGCTGCCTGTCAATTTAGATAAGATGAGTATCATCCTTGATGTCAGATTTATAAGCAAGTTACAGCTTTTAAACTAAGCAACCTTATGCATGGTTAAAGTCCAGCTTTCAGATTTCTGAGCTCATTCTGTCTGGCATTCTGGTGCTTAGGGACTATAAAGGTCTCCAATTAGAAACTGGTTTCCAAGAGCAGACCTATTTTGACTAGCACAGTTGTAAAAATTAATTGCATAATCAAATTAATTATTTCCTAGATTAATTACACTTACATGTTCCGTTTCTGATTGAACTTAGAAGTAATGCTCAGTTTAATTAAACATTGCATAGCTGTCTCTGATAAATGGCAAGGATGGAAACCACAAACGCACAGGGCTAAGCATAGCTAATGGTGCTCACTTTTGAACAATGACGGTGTTTGTTTCGGTTTTTTTAATTACATTGTTTGTCAAATCTGTAGCCCTTTTGAGCTGAAAGGGATACTTAGTATTCTTTGTTTAAAAATTTATTTATGTGAATATCTGTAAACCTAGTATAAAGTATTCAGCAGCCTTCTAATTTTTATTTCTTATTCACAAATACTGACTGACAAAATTCTGGCAGATTTTTGAATCTGAAAATTCAAGAGGGTGAAGCTCACAACATTTTTTGCCCAGCATATGATTGTTTCCAGCTTGTGCCTGTAGACATCATAGAAAGTGTGGTTTCCAAGGAGATGGACAAAAGATACCTTCAGTTTGACATTAAGGTAAATCATCGAGCTGTTCTTGTACTCTTGAACTGTATTTAATTTTATTAAAAATAACTTATAACTTCTGTGTGAAATGCTGCAATATATCTGTAACTTTCCAAGTAGAAATTAATAAATTACTATGTACACTGAATTATTGGCTGTCTTACATGCCATAATATCAACGTTCGATATACCACTGAGAAAAAAGAAAGAACACTATATTTATTCCTTAAGCACAAATGCAATACTTCCATAATGTGTAACCTAATGCATTCTTAATAAAAGGATTTGATCAAACTAATTTTCCTAATAGGTGATAAGAAGCTTTTAATAAGCCAGACTTGTTTGTGTTGGCAATCTAAAATTTTGGAGAGTTTTTGGATTTTTATTACCAATAGACTGTTTACAGTCACTAATGGTATCTGTTTCCATGTTAAAAATATATTACTACAAGTGAATTACTTTTTTTTTTTTTTTCTATCCTGTGCTTCATATGGTCACTATATATAGGAAGAGAAGTAGGAAAATCTCGATTTGGTTTTCCAGTGTGATTTTTTTTTTATGTGTGTATTTCCATCATTGCAGCTTGTTTTTAGAAGCAATCTTTTAATTCACCTTTTTTCCTTTTATACTAGTGCAGTAATGAACTCGTCTTTGAGATAATGTGCTACTTTATCAGTGGTGGCAGGGCAAAAGAAAGTAGAGGAATATTTTTTTGTTTACAATACAATACTTTCTCTGTGTGACAGATCTCTTTAATACACAGTAACAGTGTCTTCCACAGTAAGATGCAAATTTATTTACCAGATCTGATTAAGCTTTTACATCTTCATATTTCACACAGCTGATGATCAGCATAGGTTTGAAGCAAAGTAGTGAAAGTTGCTTTTGCTTCTCATTTATTAGATGTAAGATTTACAAAATAAGAACTACTACATTAACCAAAAAAGATTGGGGGTAAATTCATGAGTTAGTCTAGTTCTGATTTGGAATATATTGTGGAATTTTTGTTTTAATCTATAAGGTTTTAATTCTTTTCAACTACAGGAGTCAGTTCTGTCAATGAATGTATGGCTAGTGCATATACAGTAGCAGTTTACAATAAGCCATATCACAAAGGAATTGACTTGCCCACATTGAACATTCTGTTTGGGATGTAAGTCGTTTGCATCTTAGCATAAGTCTGCAGTACTGTTGTTGTTTCAAAAAAAGCCCCAACGTTTTTAAGGTGGAGATTAAATTATTCCGTTTTTATAACTATTTTTAAAAGCCTATTAAAGTAGCTACAAGATTGTCCTTATGCTTTTTGGCTTTGTTCCTTCAAAGGAAGATTATGAATACAGATTGTTTGATATCGATGATGAAATCTGATCTTATGTGTTAAAATATTTTCCTTTTTTCCCCCTAGGCCTTTGTTGAAAATAATCCTGCTATTAAATGGTGTCCTATACCAGGCTGTGAAAGAGCAGTAAGGCTAACAAGACAAGGATCAAATTCAACAGGATCAGATACACTTAGCTTCCCTATGCTAAAAGCCCCCGCTGTAGATTGTGGAAAAGGACATCTTTTCTGCTGGTTAGTACTGGAAGCTTATCTACATCTACACAAACTCACAGTCACTGCTATTCCAGGAATTAATTTAAAAGTCGCACTTAGAACTAAGCGTGCAACAAAAATTTGTATGGGATGGTATATGACTGTACTATCCTGTATCCATGCACTAAATAACCTCATGTGCACAAATATTTTAGTATTTTGGGGCACAGCGAAGGTTTATAATACTGTATTACTCTTTATTGATTCTGTTAGGTGCAAAGCAGCAATATGGAGTGTTGTGATGTTCTGTTCTGAGGGGACAGAGAAGTGAGATATTGGTGGAAGGATTTTTGTGTCTGCTCTGGATAGTTGTGGTATAATTGAAACATGGCACATTCTGAATTGTAGCACAGAAAACCAGCAATTTTTAATCTCTTTCTGAATTTTTGGTAGAATCACATCAAAGAAGCTGGAGTTTAAACAGGACTGTGGAGGACCTTTTGCTTCATATATAGCTATTGCATTTGCAGGATCACTGCAGTCATTGTTTCACTTTAGGATCAGCACTTTATGCTATCTTTTACTGAGTCTTAAGATGAATACAAGCTTGAGAAGGAGTAAAAAGCCATGAGGTATTTAAAAAAAAAATCCCTGAGATTGCCTGTCTTCAGCACTTCCAAGGAAAAGACAACAACAGTATCAACAAAAGCAAAAAAGTGGCGAGATATTTTTCTGAAGTGCAGAGCAAAGCCCTATCCTAGTTCCTTGAGATTAGCAGACTGACAATTTATGACTATTGTAGTGAGACATCCTTTTAGCTGTTGGAAAATCGAAAGGGGTCAACCAAAGTATAGAGATTCAGACAAGCTGAGTAATCCTTCTTTTATTTTTTCAATTGAAACCATGATGCAAGAAGAAGAGATCCTGAATAATCTGCTTGATTCCAAATATTGTAAGACTCTTAATGAAAGATGCTTCTGATTTTAGTTCTTTCCCCATATGAATGGAAAGGAAGAAGGAGCAAGAAGAAAGTAGACATAATGAAACAACCACGAAAGCCAGAAAACAGAACTTCTTATAAAGAGATTGTTCACAGTGGATGGAGAACTCAGAAAGAAACAAATCCTGTGGAAACAAACCAGAAAACGTTTTTTACCAGTGAACATATAAGAAACCTTAGTACTATTCCACAAGAAGGTACCATCCTCTCATCCTTGCTTCTGATTACAGACAGAGAATCATTTTTTCCCTGAACCTGAAGGACAGAGCTTGAGACCACTTTAGTGTAATCATAGAACCATAGAACGGTTTGGGTTGGAACGGACCTTAAAGATCATCTAGTTCCAACCCCCCTGCCATGGGCAGGGACACCTTCCACTAGACCAGGTTGCTCAAAGCCGCATCCACCCTGACCTTGGAACACTTTCAGGGAGGGGGCATCCACAACTGCTCTGGGCAGCCTGTTCCAGTGCCCCACCACACTCACAGTAAAGAATTTCTTCCTTATATCTAATCTAAATCTGCCTTCTTTTAGTTTAAAGCCATTCCCCCTTGTCATATGCCCTTGCAAAGAGTCCCTCTCCAGCTTGCTTGTAGGCCCCCTTCAGGTACTGGAAGGCTGCTATAAGGTCTCCCTGGAGCCTTCTCTTCTCCAGACTGAACAGCCCCAACTCTCTCAGCCTTTCCTCATACTGACGTGGTCCTTCAGACATTGGCAGCTTCTGCTTCCTTTATGTGGGCTGAATGTACTGGCTCCCCAGAGTGTTCTCTGAGTGTGAAAATGTCCTCTGAGTGCCTAATTTTTATGAGAAATGTCTTTTTTATGTTTCCTGATAATATTTCTGAATGTTCTTTTTATGTTAATACCTTGAGATACTGCACAAGCAAATACAGTTAAGGTCTTGAAAAAGACCTCATTTTAGCAGCGAAATGTCCAAGAAGGCCTTTCCAAGGCCTTTTTTTCGTCCCCCACAAAAGTGAATGAAGAGTTTCAGTAAGGGCAAGAAAGTTCTGCTAGCAACCAAAGCATCCTGCAGTACTATAAATCAGAACCATTTACTGACAACAGCCATATTAGTCTTACAGTACAAAAACCCCATGCATGAATGAGTTCCTCTGGAGATAAAGAAAGTGTATTCTCAGTTCAGAGAGTTTTCATCATTACTGTATGCCTAAAGGCAGCTTGCTTTATATTTTTAAAGTTCAATAAACACATCCCACAGTTCCCTACTTAACGTCAGTTCTGCAAGTTTTACCCAGGTAATCTACAACTTCAACACTGTAATAGCAATTGATACTGCAGTTAGTAAGAGATTCTTTGGAATTTATGTATTAGAAAACCCCAGCCAACCCCTAGATAATCACTTGCTGTTTTCAGATCTATAGTCTTCCTGCTCATAAACACGAGAAAATTTTGCGAGTCTATTTCCTTTTTTTTTCTTTTAATGTGGAAGTAGGAATGTTCCTCTTAAATACAGAGTTCCTTAGAATTTACTCATTTTTCGTTACCCACCACTAGCAGTGCCTTCAACAAAATGTGATCTGTTGCGACAATCAGAAAATTCTATTCCCTTTCTGAAAAAGCATTCTGCGATATTTAAATGTAGTACAAATGAAAACTGTGCACAAATCCTACATATGTGTATTATAATCAGATACATTCAACATACTAGAATGCCTTCGTGCTGTTTCAGGAGCACAAGGAACTGCAGCAAGCAGACACATACTAGTTTTTCACCATTAGTCCTCACTCCTTTCATCTTGGATGTAGACAAGGGGCAGAATCTCATTCTGTCGGAGAGACATCTCTTCAGGTGCTCTTGGGAAGCCAATTATAATTTCCAACAGTGTGTTGCTGTTTTGATTCAAAATTCATTATATGATATAAATATTATCATGAGAGGAAAGAAAATCCAGAATTGCTTTCTTCTTGGATGATGCTTTTCGCTCTTCCATGAATTTTAACTTGTTGAAACGTGCTACAGTTTTATGAAGTATGTACTGCACCTTCAAATAAATCATCCTGCTGAGTATTGAAGGCAGCCTGGGGAGGCTAACACTGTTGATTGTCACTGCCATTTGGCATTAGTTCCCTTCATTCCGTGCTGTCAGGGAGTCTATCCAAAATACAACTTTGTTTCATAATAAGTTTTATAAGCGGTAGGCTCAATGCTCTTACTCTAGTAAAATGACATCCCGGTATAAAAATTCTTGTTTTGGGGTGGGCAGAGGAGAGGACTTCTTCCATGAGAAGTTGTGACTATTGTATAGATATAGTTCTAGATATAGATGCATGATATATATATGGTTGCACTTCATTAAAAACCAAAAATTTACAACTTTGAAAACATCAAAGACAGAACCTTCCCTGCCCACCAGTAATAGATTGACTAATAAGTTTTTAACTTAAAACTGAGTTTATTATCATTTTTGCTAGTTGCAGTTCTTTCTGGGAACAAATACTGTGTGAGAGGTCTTGGCTGTCTTGAAGTCAATGATTTGAGCATACTACTGTCCCACAGAAGTGAAAGATGTCAGTTTTCAACCAGCGCTGAGATTGCCTTATTATACACTAGTTATTCATTCCAGTACAATCTTTCCCAGCTACAGATCTGAAGTATCTCCAAACCAGAGATCCTTGTGTAGTGAATTTAAGCTTGTTTGACAGCATACTAGCTATTGGGAGAAAAGTTGAAAGCTGTTGCCATAGCTTTTTCTTTGTTCCT